ATTTGTTCAGAAAATTTCTAAAGGCCACGCATAATAAATCTGGGACACTCTGAGGCTTACACCCTGCTGGTCTTGGATGACGTTGGCACAACATTCATGATTAAAATTGTTAATCATGGTCGTTGCCACTGAGTGCACAAGAATACAAATTAGCAGGAAAGTAGGAGATGCCAATACTTGTAGATGCCTTCGGCAAATATCTCGTAAGGAGGAGATGTGTGAATTTAGAATGGGCAGTAGCGATTCTTGGATGCATTATGAATTACGGGGATAAAGATAGACAACAGTCATTTTCGCAGTTCTGATATATGGCTTGACCAGTGCAAAGCAGATAAGGCTGATAAGGTACAGAAGTTGAGGCAAGGTGAGGAACGTTGCAGCATCATCAGTTGCTTGTTGAGAGCATCTCCTTAAGCCGTTTCACAACCAGAACGTCTTTGATTTGTGATGTCCACCGTATCCGCAGATTTTCAGCACTTTTCACACGAGGTACTTGTTTCTTCATCGCAGAAAGAGATATTTCTCTCTGAAAGCTAGTCTGTCTCTACCATTTTTCTCCATGTGACATGCTAATCCCTGAACGACGTCTGCCGTAATTAAGCTCAAACATAAGACGCTCATGGGCTACAGTAGATATTGTATATCTAAATAATTTGTTTAACAAGGCCAACATCCTCTTCTGAATCTCGACATCTACCAAGATCACTTGTGCAGCGAAAAGAATGGAATCATTCTTTACGTGATCCTGTCTTGCAGCCATCGGTATGCATCGAAGCGATCGTTTCTTAAGCAGTTTAAACGTCGTTCTTGCTCCATCATTAGAACAATATTTGCCTAACAGAGTACAGACGGATTTTCATGGGATGACTGATCCTTGTTAGATTCCAAATGTTGGACAGGTTACCTAAAACACTAAAGGCTAGGGCGATTCGCCAATTTAATTCTGGCTGTACTGTGCCATTGCTGGAGATATTGGAGCAAGTTGCTTACCTCCCTGCTCCACTTATAGAGCAGCTGTACCGGATGGGTTCCTCATTGCTTTTGACCTTAAGTTTTTAAGGAAGAGGCTGGCTTTCGCAAGTGTGTTGCAGATGGAGGCTGTCAGGTGATAGAGTACACGTCCGGTACTGCTCACCAAGGAAACATCATCTGTGCACTCCAGTTCGGCTAAGTCATATATCTTGAATTCCCTGCAGAATGATATCTTTGAACGGTAGTTATGAGAATGAAGTACTTTTCCGTCAAAAGTAAGAAAAAATGGCATGAAATGATTCAAAACGCCGATACTGCCTAGCCTTTGAAAAGAAAAAGGAATGATCTTTTTACCGCGCCCTTTAGCCTTTAGGAATTTGGGTTATTTCACAGACTGGTCCTGAAAGCAAAGTGCCTTTATATCAACTGTTTCGATTAAAAAACGAAACGAAGCACGTTTGGAACAGCTTACATGATGCATGATGATAGACAGAAAAATAAATATCAAATTTGAAATGTCATCGCGAAACCAGAACTATCAGACAAATTTGATTTTATCATCGATCAAAACTAGTTTCGGTGAAACAGGTGGTGTTTATAAAAAAATTGAAAAATCAACCGGAAGTCTTTTATGCAAATTAAGCGGTATATCTAAACGTTAGATATTGGTTTGAATCTTCATTTTTTCTCCTCTCCAAATTTCAGGAACAAAATATTAAATGATTTTGAGCAATTTTTATGCTTCGAATATACTTCATTCCGTATTAGGCTTGAGAGCGATATACAGATTGAGAAACAAACCTAAAGGTATAGAAGAATTTGTGAGGTACTGAATGCTCACTCGGTTGGTTCATTTTAAATTTTGCAAGGTCAGATGGAACTGGTGATTGAAGGTGCCTTCATGCAAAGGTGATTTTTTAAGATTTGTGGTATCCAAGGACTAAATCATGCATTTATGACCACCACCAAAAAACCTTATGCCGCTTAGCCCTCATTTCATTATCAGTATCGCTTTAGAAATTTCGTTAGCCGAAGGGGTATCAGAATGGTATGCAATCCTGTTTGGTGGAGTCATACCTATTAATCTTTCACTAAGATGAAATCTCAATGACGGCACTATCTCTCAGCTCAATGATATCAGATGCACCGTCGCCTATCTACGGTGTAAGATGCTCTTTC